TGAGGTGTTTTTTGAGGCGCCTCCCCTGTGGAGCGGAGAATCAGCAGTGCCTAAATAAACACCTCAATAGGCCTGGGAGGGCGCTGCTGCTTCCGTTCCACAGGGGAGGTGAGGTGTGGAGCAGGGAGAGAGAGAGAGACATGCATGTGAAGTGGGGGGTTAGGGAGAGGCAAGAGAGGCAACATATGAAAAGCAGTGGTGGCGTTGAAGCCTTTTGAATCCACTCAGCAGAGAGTGCGTGACTCACGGAAAAAGCAGTGGTGCCACAGAAGCAGGCAATGCGGACAGTGACAGGGCAGGGGGCACAGGGACCGCTGCAGGGAAGGGAAGGCAGTGAGTAGAGAGCAGGCACAGGGCAGAGAGGCATGTTAGCAGTGGCACTAGCATGCACAGAAGCAGGTTACCACACCGTAGCTTGCGACCGCACAGCTGGACAGGGGGCACAGGGGCCACTGGGGCCGCTGGAGGGAGGGGAGGGAAGGATGAGTGGGGAGAAAGGGTGGGAGAGAGGGGAGAGAGAGTGGACAGAGAGGGGAGAGGGAGGCTGGTTAAGGGAGGAGGGTGTGTAAGGGGTAAGGCTGGGTATGGGGCAAGAGAGAGCCGTGCAGACTGGTAGCAAACAGATCTACAGTTTTACAGAACAAACCAGTGCTGCACAACAAAGCAATTCCTTTTGAATCATCACATTGAATGATTGAATTGACCTGGGCAAGGACTTTTAAAGGCACTCCAGATTTTCTAACTCGTGAACCATCACACTGAACTGACCTGTGGCAAGGAGCGGGGCACTTGTGGTTACCACACCGTAACTTGCGACCACACACCTGGACGCACAAGCATCAATGAAAAAATCATAATAACAATAAAGAACTCAGTGCAAGGAAACATAAAAGGAGAAAAGAAGCATGAAAGAGAAGGGAGGACAAGAGACTCCTTAGTCTCAGTTACAGCATACGATGACTCCTCACCTCGGGGCAGGGGGGGCAGTCGCCAGCGCAGCAGCGCCGCTTGCACAGGTGGCGCCCACACGGCCTGCCACGCTGGCAGCGGCGATCGCAGAGATACTCCTGATGGCAGGGCAGCTGTTGGGGCCAGGTTTGGGGGGGAAGTGCATTGGGGGGGAGAGGAGGTGGGGGAAAGGGTACTCACTGAACCACACGGCCTGCCTGCCACGCTTGCAGCGGCGATCGCACAGATACTCCTGATGACAGGGCAGCTGTTGAGGGCGAGAGAGAGAGGTTAGGGGGGTGTGGGGGCGCAGTGGGCAAGAATAGAGCGGGTGAGAATTGGGGGATAAGAGCATTGACTGAACACACGGCCTGCCTGCCACGCTTGCAGCGGCGATCACACAGATACTCCTGATGACAGGGCAGCTGTTGAGGGCGAGAGAGGGAGGTAAAGAGGGTGCGTTGGAGGGGTGAGGCAGCAGTGGGAAGGGGAGTTCACTGAACCACACGGCCTGCCACGCTGGCAGCGGCGATCGCAGAGATACTCCTGATGGCAGGGCAGCTGTTGAGTGAGGAGGGAGCGGGGGGGGAGGGGGTGGGGGGGGGGGGGGGGGGGGGGGGGGGGGGGGGGGTGGGATCAGGAAAGGAGCATCGGATGAACTGGCACGGCCTGCCACGCTGGCAGCGGCGATCGCAGAGATACTCCTGATGACAGGGGAGCTGTCCGACCGGAAGTAGGGGAGAAGGGACGGCGTGGGAAAGAATACACGGGGACGAGGGGTGTGATGGGGGGGACAGGAGCGTTGAATGAACTGAACCACATGCAGTTGGGGCGGCACAGGGGTGCAGTGCGACGTGTATGAAGGAGTGTTTTGAGACGTTTCAAAACACTTCTTCATACACGTGCAGTGCGATAGCCAGGCTGGATACGGCGATCGCACAGCTACTCCTGGTGACAAATGAAGGATGATCGCACAGCTACTCCCGGGGGAGAGAGGAAGGATGAAGAGGGCGAGTGCGATGGTGGCAAGTGAGTGTTGAACTGAACTGACCCGCGCTGCCTGCGCCACTGGCAGCGGCGAAAACCCTTCAAGGCCCTCACCTCCTTACTCAGTCTGCTGAATTGTACTGACACCCCTTCACCGCCACAATAACACAGGTTGTAAGCACTCCCACCCACGCCCACCCACGACACATCTCCCCAGCACGTGCCACGCAATGCAATGCAACGCCATGCATCCATACAAAGCAAGACAAGCACCTCTTCGTTACAAAGCCCTCTCTCACCTCCTTAGTCACTCCGCCGCTGCACCGACACCCCTTCACCATTCAGACATCATGTGGGGGTGTCTTGGAACACCCCCAAAAGACACCATCACCATCACCTCTTTAGTCACTCCACCGCACCGACAACCCCACATGACACCTCTCCGCACACACATGTATTGTAATGCATGAATCCACGCAAACAGCTTTTCATAACAAGCCACTCACCTCTTTCGTCACTCCGCCGCACCGGCACCCCTTCACCACCACTATCAGACACGTCTTGGAACATTCCCCCACATGACACCGCTCCGCACACACGTGCCGCCCGCAAGCCAAAGGTTTTTCACACGTCGCCCCACAGGGAAGAGCCGGCTTGTCACAGGGTAACCCCTCGTATGATTTTTTCCCGCACGGGCAGCTTCGCCTGCCCGAAAGAGGGCAGTCGCCGCAGTCCCCCGCGTGGCATTCCACCTCGCACTTGTGCCGCCCGCACGGAAACTTTTTCCCGCAGATCTTCCCGCAGCTGAAATTTCTTTCTGCGCAGGGAAGGTTTTTTTTCACCTGCCCACATCGGCAAGAAAAGGTTCCCTCCCTGTCGCAGGGCGGGCAGCTGCCCGGATGACACGTGGCATCGCAGGAGTGGATGCCGCAGGCAAGGTGTTTACCACAGCGGGCAGCGCAGGAAAATTCGTGCTGCCCGCAGCGACAAACATCCTCCTTCTTGCCACAGTGACAGCGAGAGCGAATGAGCTGGGGACACGGAGGACAGGGACCGGGGTGACACAGCAATGTGCACCTATGACCGCATGCCACATCAGCTTCCCTCTCCGCCTCCAACCCCTCTCCTCCCAGCCCCCCCCGCTTCCCTCTTCCAACTCCCCCATCCCTTCCCCCTCTCCCTTCCCCTCCCCCACCGCCTCCCCCTCCCCCTCCCCCTCCCCCGCCCCTCAGTTCTCTCTCACAGGGTTCCCCACAGGAATGGGGGCCAGCCAGGGATCGAAAGGGGGATCCTTCACCCGCCCACAGTAGCATCGGTACTCCCGAGGCAAATCAGCCTCGGGATACTCGGTTCGGCACTTGGGGCAGTGCCACGTGGCAGCTGCTGGTTGGCCCTTAGAGGAGGAGGAAGAGGAAGAGGAAGAGGAGGAGGAGGAGGAGGAGAGAGAGGAGGCTTGTATACCCTGTCGGGCCCACGACTGAATACAGACAAGATGGAGTGAACAGTAACAGCCGCCCCGGCACGACCAGATCGGATCTGAAGATCTGATCCGCTCCAGGCACACCAGACAGCTGGCGCCGCCTGATTGGACGGCGTTCAGGTGGTCCCGGATCTTCTCCAGACCTGCTGTGAACGCAGGCTCGGCAGAAACAAGTTCGGCAATCCCACTCCCCGCCCCTCTGCCTCCCCCTCCTCCTCCGCCTCCCCCTCCCCCTCTCCCTGCAAGATACGCCCCGAAAATCGCCTCTTCTAACCGTTCCACACTAGCTTTCCCCTTGGATCGCCCTCCCCCGGTTCCGCCTCCCTCTTCCGCGCCTTCCCCCTCCCCCTCCGCGTCCCCCTCGTCCCCCTCCCCCTCCTCGTCGCTGCTGTCGGAGAGCAGCGCGGGGAACTGCTGCGCCAGGCGCGCGGGGTCCGTGATGAAGGGGAGCGGGCGCATGGCGGAGGGGAGCGCGGAAGGGAACGCGGAAGGCTGGGGGACCGCGGCGGAAGTGGGGAATCCGCCGGCGGTGGGAGCGGCAGAAGACGAAGCGGAAGCGGCGGCGGCGGCGCTGCTGGCGCTGTTGCGCGCGGCACTAACATTACCCATGCTACGGTTAGGTCCCCACCCCGCTGATCCCCCGCCTCCGCTACCGCCGCCCCTGCCTGGTCCGCTTCCGCCTGTGCGCGCATCTCCCACTCCCCTTCCGCTTCCCCCGGATCCGCCAGACCAATTGGAGCTTGCGCCAATGCCCGCGCCGGCTCCCCCGCCTGTTCCCCCTACTCCACCCGCTCCCCGCCCGCGTCCGCCTACAGTTCCGCCGCCGTCGCTCGCGCCCCCCGCCCCTACCTCCCCCTCTATTCGCGCCACGCCCGCCGCTTCTCCCTCCGCGATCCCCGCCGCCGCTTCCACGGCCCTGCGCTGCCGCGGGCCCGCTAAACGCGGGGTTTTGCCCGAGAATTCCGGAGGACGACGCGAGCTGCGGCCGAATCAGCTGCGGAGGCTGCTGGCGCTGCGGCTGGCGCAGCGCGCCTCGTCCGCGAGCCGCCTGACGAGACGGCACCTCGCTCCACTCGCCGTCATCCATTGTTGCGAGCGGTAACGAGTCAAAAATAACCAGATTAACCCTGCACTAACAGCGAATCCTCTCGCTCCATCCGCCGTCGTCCATTGCTACAAGAGGTAACGCGTCAGAAAAACCGCTTTAACTCTGCATTCTCCGCGCCTCGCCTCCCTTCATCGCGACGCTATGCGTGCGGTGCGTGAAGAACCGTATGGGAGCGATGTGAGGTTTGAATCTATTATGTTGTATAGCTTCCCAACAGACAGCTCTCGTAGCTCAGTTGGTTAGAGCGTATGGCTGTTAACCATAAGGTCGGTGGTTCAAGCCCACCCGGGAGCGCTCTTTTACTTCGTCTGCCCACCGCATGGTTGATGGGGTGCTCAACAACCAATGAATGAAGTCGTTTCGCTTTTTGTTGCACCAGGTGTTTGAGTGACTCTACTATCTGTCTCTTCCACGAAAACTAACGCCCAACCTGTATGTACACCACCAGTATTGACAGTACCACTATTGAGAATACAATCAGCCCTTACGAGTCAAGGCACAGGGTCCTGTGGGAGCAACTTTCCACTCAAAGAACCGCGATGGAGCAGCAGCAATCTTCCATTCGAGCCTCAAGTCACTTAAATCCTCCCTAAAGCGCCTCTCGTAGTAGATTCCTGCTAGCGGCACCGCTCTGATACCAGCGCCCAGAGCCCAGGGGTAGATGGAGGAGAGGAGGAGGGAGCGGCGGGCGGGGGAGAGGCGGATGGGCGCGCCCAGGGAGGCAAGGAGGCACATGGGGAGGCCCGTTTGGGTGAACTCTATGAGCTTGAGGGCTAGCTCTCCAGAGACGGTGGTGGGGAGGGCGAACATGGTGTGCCAAAAGTCGTGCACTTCCCTTAGCCTGGCGGGAAGGGAGGAACGAGTAGAGTGGAGGCACATGTGGAGGGCGGTTTGGGTGAATTCGATGAGCTTGAGGGCTAGCTCGCCCGACTCGGTGGTGGGGAGGGAAAATAGAGTGTGCCAAAAGTCGTGGACCTCTCTTAACCTGTGAAAACAGGAGCAGAAAGAGGAGACAGAGAGAGAGGGGAGAGCGGAGACAGAGAATGGGGATGGAGGGGCAGGCAGACAGGTGGGTTGAAAGAGGGCGAGAGGCGGATGGGCGCGCCCAGGGCTTTTTTTGAGGCGCCTCAAAAGAGGGCGAGAAGCGGATGGGCGCGCCCAGGGAGGCGAGGAGGCACATGGGGAGGCCCGTTTGGGTGAACTCGATGAGCTTGAGGGCTAACGTTTGGGCTCACAGGGTCGTCAATGAAGCGCACAGGCGGGAGTTCATGGGGCAGGAAGCGGCAATAGCGCATCCACGCACGCACAGCTCCAAAGGTCCCCGTCAGCCCCTATCCTCCTCCTCACCCACGCACACCACCAAGAGTTCAGACTAACCAGGCGCACTCTGGACTCACCGCGTGGCCACACAGGCCAGCTCAGGGTGGTCAATGAACCGCACTGGCGGGCGTCCGTGGGGCTCGAAGTGGCGAGAGCGCATGAAGTGAGCGAGCGCAGGCCGCACTCCACATCCCATCAAACCCTCCTCACACCTACTCACCGTGTGGCCACGTAGGCCAGCTCACTCAGGGTGGTCAATGAAGCGCACAGGAAGACGTTCGTGGGGCTCAAAACGGCGAGAGCGCATGAAGTGAGCATAGGCCGCCCCGAAGGTCTCGCCTAGACATGTACTGTCACCACCAAACTCACCGTGTGGCCACATATGCCAGCACTGGGTCGTCAATAAACCGCACGGGTGGTCTTTCATGCGGCTCAAAGCGACGAGAGCGCATGAAGTGAGCATAGGCTGCACTCAACGTCCCATCAAACCCTCCTCACACCAACTCACCATGTGGCCACATAGGCCAGGTCAGGGTCGTCAACGAATTGCACAGGCGGGCGTTTGTGAGGCTCAAAACGACGAGAGCGCATGAAGTGAGCGTCCAAAGGCTGCTCCAAAGGTCTCGCCACGCCATGTACCGCTCACATCACATATACTCACCTTAATACAATCAGACTCACCGTGTGGCCACATAGGCCAGCTCTGGGTCGTCAATGAATCGCACGGGCGGGCGTTCGTGGGGCTCAAAACGACGAGAGCGCATGAAGTGGGCATATGCCGCGCCGAAGGTGCCTCTGCCGCACTGCTCTGCTGCCTGCAGTGTGGCGTCTGTTACCCGGGGTTTCTCCTCAAGTATTGCCTGGTGTTAGTGGTGGATGTGTTTAAACGGGGGTAAGCGGAGCACATGAAAGGAGTGAAGGCCGTTAATAAAGTTCATCCCTCTGCCGCACTGCTCTGCTGCCTGCAGTGTGGCGTCTGTCACACGTGGCTGTTCCTCCAGTATTGTCTGGTGATGGTGGAACAGGGCCGGGGAAGGAGAGGGAAATGGGGTATACATATGTCGATCATGTGGGCAGGAAGCTGTGGGAGCGCATGAAGTGAGCATAGGCCGTTCCAAAAGTTCCCCTGCCGCACTGCTCTGCTGCCTGCAGAGTAGCATCTGTCACCCGGGGCTTCTCCTCCAGAATGGCCTGGTGTTAGTGGTGGGTGGTGTATGTATGCGTGCACATGGGGGTAAGGGGAGAGCATCAAGTGAGTGTGGGCTGCTCCGAGCATTCATCCCTCTGCCGCACTGCTCTGCTTCCTGCAGTGTGGCGTCTGTCACCCGCGGCCTCTCCGCCAGTATCGTCTGGTGGTAATTATGTGGTTAGATGCAGGTAAAGGGAGCGCATGAAGTGAGCATATGCTGCTCCGAACGTGCTTCTGTCGCACTGCTCTGCTGCCTGCAGAGTGGCGTCTGTCACCCGAGGCTTCTGCTCAAGAATGGCCTGGTGTTAGTGTTGGATGCGTGCACGTGGTGGAGAATGCAACACAGGTGGATGGGGGCAAGGGCATTCCACGGAATGAGTATAGGCCGCTCTGAAGGTTCATGCCTCTGCTGCACTGATCTGCTGCTATGTGGCGTCTGTCACCCGGGGTTTCTCCTCCAGAATGGCCTGGTGGTAAAAGTGCGGTTCAGGGGGGGGTGCTTAAAATGAGTGTAGGCTGCTCCAACTGTCCCTCCCTCTGCTGCACTGCTCTGCCGCCTCCAATATGGCGTCTGGCCAATATGGAGTGGGATCTCTCTTCCAGTAGTGCTTGGTCTTGGTGGTGGATTCATACAAATGGGGTAAACCATTAACACACACGCACATAAACATACACGCGCATACATGCATGCATATATACACACACATGGGTATGCAGGAACTGCACTCACCCGTCCCTCCTCTGTGGCCCTCATCTGCTCTCTGATTCGCCTCAGTGCCACCATGCCACCACCCAGTGGTCTCCCTCACAGCCGGGTTGACATGGATCTGTACTCTACTCACATGTGCACAACTCACCCGTCCCTCCTCACTCGCCCTCATCTGCTCTCTGATGCGCCCCAGCGCCACCACCCCAGTCGTCTCCCCCACAGCCGCCACCAGATCCGCCCGTGCAGGGTTGGCCAGTGCTCCCACTGACGCCCCTATGGCTACCGCTGCTCTTTGCAGAGGCGAGAGGGGGATGTGCGAGTCATACAGGGGGACTGCGGAGGGCGGAAAGAGAAGGGATAACGAGGGGAGGAGGAGGAAGGAACGGGGGAGGCGGAGATGAAAGGAAGGGGGTAAAGATCACTCCACAGCCGCCACCAGATCCGCCCGGGCAGGGTTGGCCAGCACTCCCACTGACGCCCCTATGGCCACTGCTGCTCGCTGGAGTGGGGAGAGTGGTATGTGCGAGTCGTACAGGGGAGTTGGAGGGGGAACAGGAGCAGGGGACAGGGAGACGAAGGAGGGTGGAGACTCGTGTGAGGGTCTCATTTCCGCCCGTGCAGGGTTGGCCAGCGCTCCCACTGACGCCCCTACTGCGACTGCTGCTCACTGTAGGGTGGAGAGGAGGATGTAAGAGTCGTATAGCGGGACTGGGAGGGTAATGCGGGAGGGGGAGGGGGGAGACAGAAGGCAATGGTTATCTGAAGACCTCTGCAGGGTTCGCCAGTGCTCCCACTGACGCCCCTACTGCGACTGCTGCTCGTTGGAAGAGGGAGAGTGCGATGTGAGAGTCGTATAGAAGAGCCGGGGGGACGCGGGGAGGGGGAAAAGGGAACGGGGGGAAAGAGAGAGCGGAGGGATTTGAGGGGGGACGAAGGGGGGGAGAGCGAAAGGGCATTGTGGCATTGAATACGGCAGGCGGCATCAGGAGCATTTTTTCTGCGAATTCAATGTGAAGTAATTGACAGAAACAGAGACTTGCCTGCTTCCGATCCAGTAGTTCTTCTCTGCGAATTTAATGTTGAACATTTGAGATAAAAATAGAGCTTTACCTGCTTCTGATCCAGAAGCTAATCCGCGACGTTGCAGCTGCTGCTGCTGAACCAGATCAACGGCTCCAGGTACATCAGCAACCGGCTGAGAAACGAGAGCCGTTCGATGCAGCACGGACGACAATAAAGCACTGGAGGCTGCACTAACAGACGACGCTGGTCCGTTTAACGTCCGCACTGAACGTCGCAGAGACATTGTTTGTGGCGAGAGAAGATTGCGGCGAGGAGAGAAGATTGCGGCGAGGGAGTAGGTGCAATAAAGCTGCGTCTCAAATCGACGTAAAAACGTGCGAAGGAAGCAAGTCAACGAGCAGAAACGTGCCTAAAGGTTCTGAAGGATGTTCTACCGCTACTTTAGAGGCGCTGTTGTCGTAGAGCTTTCAATACTACCATCCGCCAACAGAGGACGCGCGAATCACGCTTTTCGTTGCCAGATAGTAACGCAACGCGCTCCGACGCTTACACCAAACGTTGTACTTGCAACGCGCTCCGACGCTTACACCAAACGTTGTACTTCCACAGGATTCTGGCCCATACTACAAATTATGCGTCACTGATTGCGTCTCACGTGAATCTTCGAGAAACGGATGAATGCAAATGAGCCCGCACATGACCCCCTTGTTTCTATTCGCGATTGTGTCGTGCCGTGGATTAACGAATCCCAGAAAAGAGATTGTTGCATAACAAAATTGATTGATTGTTATAAACATTTCAAGTTGCAAATCACTAGCTTGCGCTTGATGGATAAACAAAAACCAAATCTCTTTACGGTAAAATTTGCGATTTAACAAAAAATGAGCTTCAAAGAAAATCACCAGATATCTATCAAACCAAAACGACCTCTACCTGTACTCATCCCCACAGTCCCAGTTACAGCAATGAGGTCCCAGACTCTGTTGGCAACACAGGTGCAGAGTAGCAACACTTCTACTGTATTTCTCTACTATATGATAGACCTGTTGAAGAGGCCTCTACCTGTACTCGTCCCTATAGTCACCAATCACAGCAAGGAGGTCCCGGCCCCTGCTGGTAACACTGGCGATCCTCGCACGATCCTCGTCGTCCAATTTCAAGTCAAAGATCTTGTTGTCCGCAATGTGTTGCTGCATGCTGGCCCAACCGCACACCCACCTCTACCTGTACTCGTCCCCGCAGTCACCAATCACAGCAAGGAGGTCCCGGCCTCTGCTGGTAACACTGGCGATCCTCGCACGGTCCTCATCGTCCAATTTCAAGTCAAAGATCTTCTTGTTGTCCGCGATGTGTTGCTGCAGACCCAGCCGCACACCCACCATTGACGCTGCTACTGCCGGCTGCTTTGCCACAAGGGGGAAAGGGAGAGTGAAAAGAGCAACAGGGTAGGTAGATGGGTTTGGTGAGTAAAATCCAATCGCAAGTCAACGATCATCTTGTTGTCTGCGATGTGTTGCTGCAGGCCCAGCCTCACACCCACCATCGATGCTGCCACTGCCGGCTGTTACGGCAGGAAGGGAGAAATCAGAAGCAAAACGGCATGACCATTTCTGTTACAATTCATATATCTTCTTGTGGCCCAGCCTCAAGCCCACCATTGATGCTGCCACAGTTGGCTGTTTTGACAGGACGGGGAAGGGGAGGTAGGTTTGGTACGTCCAATTGCAAGTCAAAAATCTTTTTGTTGTCCGCAATGTGCTGCTGCAGGCCCAGCCGCACACCCACCATCGATGCTGCTACTGCCAACTGTTGTAACAAGGCAAAAGGGAGCAATGAGAGGAGGACACACAGGCCTTTGCCATGTCCACGTGCGAGTCACGTCAACAAAGTAATGTTTTGAGACGTTACTTTCACGGAGCAGTGAGAGCAATGAGAGGAGGACACACAGGTCTTTGCCATGTCCGCGTGCAGGTCATGTAAACAAACTATTGTATTGAGACGTCTCAAAAAAGGAGCAATGAGACGCCTCAAAACATTACTTTTTTCAGGGAGCAATGTCCACGTGCAAGTTAAATACTTCCGCATTCTATCACCCTCTCAAGACGTTTCAGAACTACATTGGAAAAAATCAACCGCTCACCCACTGGGTGCGGGTGTGTGCAAGTGGGAATGTGCGGGTGGGTATTTGCGGGTGTGGGTGTATGTGAGTGTGTGGGTGTGTGTGTGGGCATGTGCTCGCTCGAATGCGAAAGTACCTGCCCCATACCACTTACCTGGTCGAGAACGGAGCGCACGGCCACTGCAGCAATGGTAACCCTGTGCTTCTTGGCCACCGCCTCACACTCCCTCAGCAACTCCTGCAAGAGCTCTCTGTGTGGGCGACCTTACACCTATTAGCTTAGAGCCAGTTGCCTGGGCAAAACTGGAGCATGCGGCCACTGCAGCAATGGTAGCCCCGTGCTTCTTAGCCACCGCTTCAGCGGCTGCTCACTCTGCTCTCACGGAAACGGATCCGGATTCCCTCAGTAGCTCCAGCAGCCGCGCCCACTTTTGAGGAGCCGCACCCACTTTTGAGGAGCCGCGCCCACTTTTGAGGAGTGCCGCACCCTCAAAAGTCGGTTCCAAGCTCCCTCAGCAACTCCAGGAGGAGCTCTCTGTGAGAGCTCACACTTGTAAGCTTCTGGAAGAGAAGTGCACTTCGAGTTTTCAGTTTACTGCACAGTTACCTGGTCGAGAATGGAGCGCACGGCCACTGCAGCAATGGTCACCCCGTGCTTCTTTGCCACCGTCTCACACTCCCTCAGCAACTCCTGGAACAGCGCCCAGCCGCCCCACGCGTCCACCATCTGAAGACATAGCAGGTGTAGGAAGAAGGTGTGTGGAGAAGGTGAGGCAGGGATGAGAGGAAAAACACCTCGAGGCGCCTCAAAAGTCTTCACCACCTTCTTTTCACACTCCCTCAGCAGCTCCTGGAATAGCGCCCAGCTGCCCCATGCATCCACCATGCGTGTGTTGGAGAGGGGGGAGGGGGAGTATGTATGGGGTGTATGGAGTATGTATGGAGATGGGTCTGTGGTAGCTTGCATCGTCTCACACTCCCTCAGCAGCTCCTGGAACAGCGCCCAGCTGCCCCACGCGTCCACCATCTGAGGAGAATAGATGGGGTAAGATGGTTATGTATGTGCTTGCTGGCAGGCAACATCCTGTCACTCCTCCCACCGCTTACCTTTCTAACCCCCTCTCTCACCTGCTTGTACTTTTTCAAAGATGGTGTGGCAAGGCGCGGGCCGAACATGCTGTTAGGCTCCTTTGCATGCAGATACTTCTCCGATAGAAGCAACCCACACCATTAGTGAGTTGACTTGCTTACAAGCCTGCCCCCTCTCACCTGCTTGTACTTGTTGAGGGACGGTGTAGCGAGGCGGGGTCTGAACATGCTGTTAGGCTCCTTTGCATGCAGATACTTTTCCAATAAAAACAACGCACACGCTAGGCCCCTTCCCTCTCCCCTTACCTGCTTGTACTTGTTCAAAGATGGTGTGGCAAGATGAGGTCCGAACATGCTGTTTGGCTCTCCTGCATGCAGATACCTCTCTGATAGAATTCAGCCATTGCTCAGTTGACTCGCTTACAAGCCTGCCCCCTCTCACCTGCTTGTACTTGTTCAAAGATGGTGTGGCAAGACGAGGTCCGAACATGCTGTTAGGCTCCTTTGCATGCAGATACTTCTCTGATAGAAGCCCGCCCATCACAGTGCCGTACCTGCATTTTCCGAAGTGGCGGAAATGAAGATAATACAGAGAAACAAGTGTTATTGTGGGTTCCTTGGCGTGGAAATAAATAAATTATATGTATAAAAGAATATTACGACATGATCGTTTTGTTCAAAAACGTTTGTCATCAATGGCAATTCGCCAAACTCACGAGCTATCTGTCTTATACCCCTCACTATAGAAGCCATGCACGAGCTATCATTTTGAGGCGCCTCAAAAAGTAGTGAGATGCATTTTGAGGCGCCTCAAAAAGTAGTGAGATGCATTTTGAGGCGCCTCAAAAAGTAGTGAGATGCATTTTGAGGCGCCTCAAAAAGTAGTGAGATGCATTTTGAGGCGCCTCAAAAAGTAGTGAGATGCATTTTGAGGCGCCTCAAAAAGTAGTGAGATGCATTTTGAGGCGCCTCAGAAAGTCATCAATGGCAAGTCGCCAAACTCACGAGCTATCTGTCTTATACCCCTCACTTTAGAAGCCATTCACGAGCTATCTCTCTTATACCCCTCACTTTAGAAGCCATTCACGAGCTATCTGTCTTATACCCCTCACTTTAGAAGCCATTCACGAGCTATCTGTCTTATACCCCTCACTTTAGAAGCCATTCACGAGCTATCTGTCTTGTACTCCTCACTTTAGAAGCCATTCACGAGCTATCTGTCTTTACACCGCCCATAAGCCATCTTCCTTATAAGCCACTCACGTTATAAGCTGCACCCCTGTAAGAGCACAGAGCTGAGCCATCTGCTGCTGCGGGCGCATGTCCACTAGGCTGTGCTGCACCTGTGGTTCGAAGGATAAAGGGGGTATAAGGGGACGACGTGGGTGCCGGGGGGATGGGAGGAGGCAGCTCAACCCATCTGCTGCTGCGGGCGCATGTCCACTAGGCTGTGCTGCACCTGTGGTGTGAACCACAGGGAGGATAGGGTATGACAAGTGAGGAAACTGTGGATAAGGGAGCAGGTGCCTCCTCCCATCTGCTGCTGCGGGCTGTGCTGCACCTGCGGTATGAACCACGGGGAGGATAGGGTAGGGCATGTGGTATGGGGAAAGGGCGGATAAGGGAGCAGGTGCCTCCTCCCATCTGCTGCTGTGGGCGCATGTCCACTAGACTGTGCTGCACCTGCAGTGCGCACCACAGGGGGGTTGGGGTTGAAGAAACAATAGGGCTGGGTTGGCGTGTAAAGAGATGTGCTGCTGCGGGCGCATGTCCACTAGGCTGTGCTGCACCTGCAGTGCGCACAGCACAGGCATGGGGGATTGGGGTTCACGAAACAATGGGGTTGGATTAGGGTATGAAGGCCGCATCTGCACAGAGCTGAGCCATCTGCTGCTGCGGACGCATGTCCGCAAGACTGTGCTGCACCTGTCGATTCAAACGACAGGGAGGATAGGGTATGACAAGTGAGGAAACTGTGGACAAGAGAGCAGGTGCCTCCTCTCATGTGCTGCTGCGGGCGCATGTCCACTAGACTGTGCTGCACCTGATCAAGGGAGGAAAGGTGGGGGTTGAGTTGAGGTATGGGGTGGGGTGAGGAAAGAAAGGGGGTGACTCAAGCCATCTGCTGCTGCAAGCGCTTGTCCACTAGACTGTGCTGCACCTGCGGTAGAGAACCACAGGGAGGATAAATATTCAGAGGAAAAAAGGATTACATTCGGGGAAACGGTGATGGGAAGAGCGGGTGGGGAGGAGGAGGGGAGGAGGTGCAAACACTACATCTTCCATACCTGGTTGCTGATAACGGGAATGGCGTTTTCCAGGGTCACTTGCAGCCAGGTGGTATCAAAATTAGCCAGTCCAATGACACCCCTTGCTGATCATGCTCCCCTCCTCCTCACCTGGTTGCTTATAACAGGAGAATCGCTTTCCAGAATCACATGCAGCCGGGTGGTGTCAAAGTTGGTCAAGCCGATGGCCTAGATCTTTCCCAGGTAGATAACCCCCATCGCGCCCAGTATAATAAAACCATCCACCAACCCCACCTGGTTGCTGACAACGGGAATACCATTTTCCAGAATCACTTGCAGCTGCGTGGTATGAAACTTAGTGAGAAGGGGTTTGGCATGGAAAGTGGAGGGGGGGGTGTTCAGGCGCAGAGGTCTACCAGGGGCTTGAAACAAAAGCCACGTACCTGGATGCTCCCATCCCCCTCACCTGGATGCTCCCATCCCCCTCACCTGGATGCTCCCCTCCCCCTCCTCACCTGGTCGCTGGCAACGGGAATGCCGTTTTTGAGGCGCCTCAGGAGCAGAGGGCTATCAGGGCTCGAAACAAAAGCCACGTACCTGGTTGCTGGCAACGGGAATGCCGTTCTCCAGAATCACTCGCAGCCGCATGGATCCAAAGTATGTGAGAAGGGGTGTGGCATGGAAAAGGGGGGGAGGGCTCGAAACAAAAGCCACATACCTGGTTGCTGACAACGGGAATGTCGTTTTCCAGTATCACTTGCAACCGCTTAGTATCAAAGTTGGTCAATCCAATCGTCTTGATCTTCCCCTCCTCCTTGAGGTCAGTGAGGTGCTTCAACGCGTCTAGGTACCCGGGGTTGCTGTAGTCCCACCTGAGAATTGGGAAGGGGGTAGGAGAGCAGGGATCAGTGGGAAGGAAGGAGGGGGCATGAGACGACAGAGAGTTAGTAAGCCCGATCGTCTTGATCCCCCCCTCCTCCTTGAGGTCTGTGAGGTGCTTCAACGCGTCTAGATACCCCGGGTTGCTGCAGTCCCACCTGGGAGTGGTGAACGGGATAGGAAGTTAAGGCGAGAGAGCAGGAAGCGGCGGGGAGGAAGGGGGGGCCGTGAGATGACAAGGAAGTGGTATGCCCTGTTACTCTCATCCTGTCCTGATCTTGCCCTCCTCCTTGAGGTCTGTGAGGTGCTTCAACGCATCCAGGTACCCGGGGTTGCTGTAGTCCCACCTGGTAATGGGGGTTGGAAGGGAGATGGGAGGGGGATGGGAAGGGGATGGGAGGGGGATGGGAGGGGGATGGGAGGGGCGCGAGAGGGGGCGAGAGGGAAGAGGAGATAAGGCAATGGGGGACGGACGAGTGCCTGGATGCGATCACCCTGATCTCTGATCTCTCATCATCTCACCTCAACAGTGGAAGTGGAGAAGATCAATGGACGTAACGACGCTGATGGCAGCGACACATACGTGCACATGGTACCATCTCATCATCTCATCACCTCACCAGTGGAACTGTAGCAGATCTATCGTCTTGACTTGCATGCGCGTGCGGGAGTGGTTTATTGCCACCTCCACCACACCAGGAGAGATTCATGCATGGAAGGTTGACACAGTGTGCATCTCACCAGTGGAACTGCAGCAGGTCGATGGTCTTGACTTGCATGCGCGTGCGGGAGCGGTTAATTGCAACCTCCACCACGTCTCGGGTCATGCGGTCGGGGCGGGGGACAAACTTGGTGAGACTGGTGGGTGGGAGGGGAGGGAGGCACACGGGAGGGGGAGAAGAAAGGGTAACAGTAGGTAAGGCGAGGTCATCAGGGTTTATCGCCACCTCCACCACGTCTCGGGTCATGCGGTCAGGACGGGGGACGAACTTGGTGAGACTGGGAGAGGAACAAGCAGATATGGCGTAGGGGGGAGGGGGAGCGGAAGGAGAGAAGGGTGGGGTGGAGAAGGAGAGAAGGGTGGGGTGGAGAAGGAAATGCAGGGTTATGAAGGTTTTTTGCCACCTCGACCACGTCTCGGGTCATGCGGTCAGGGCGGGGGACGAACTTGGTGAGAGTGGGAGAAGAAGATTAGAAAGGAAAGGAGCAGAGAGTGGGGGGGTGAGAGGCAGGATCGCAGAGATTGATCACCACCTCAACCATGCCGCGGGGCATGCGGTCAGGGCAAGGGACGAACTTGGTGAGACTGGTGCGTGGGATGGGGGCGGAGAAGAGTGGGGAGAGGCGAGGAAGAAAGGCTGATCAACGTTGACTCACCACCTCAACCATGCCGCGGGGCATGCGGTCAGGCCTTGAGATGAACGAACTTGGTGAGACTGGTGCGTGGGTGGGATAGGGGCACAAGCAAGACGGAGAAGAGCAGGAGGGTGAATGGGGAGGGGCGGGGAAGGCAGAGACATAAAGGTTGGGACTGGGATACGGGGGACAACGATTGAAGGGAAGAGGGATACGGGTTGCATGCGGTCAGGCGTTGGGATGAATTGGTGAGACTGGGATATGGGGGAGAAGATTGCAGGAAAGAAGAGCACAGAGGGAAAAATAGAGGTGCGGGAATAGGAATACTCACCCGCACACACTCACCCGCACACACTCATCCGCACACACTTACCGCTGCACGCCTAATGCAACCTCCTCCCCTCACTCCCTCCTCAGCCTGTAAATCACCCACCCATTGTCAATCATACTTTGTACACCCACACATACACTAAACTCAAACCCCTCTCCCCCCCCGCCCACACACACACACACAGACACCCACATACACCCATCCTCCCACTCACACTCACCCCTGCACACCAAACACCGCCTCCTCCCCTCGCTCCCTCCTCAGCCTTTCAATCTCCCCAAATTCAATCATCCGTAGCCCCTCTCGCTCACTACACCCATGCTACTAACACTCCCACTCCCACTCACACTCACCCCTGCACACCAAATGCAGCCTCCTCCCCTCGCTCCCTCCTCAGCCTGTCGATCATCGCCCCATAGTAACTCTCTGCAGGGCCGTCTGGGGAAGAAACGGAAGGGGAAAAAGAGATTAGCAAAGGGGGCCCATAAGTTTTGGGGAGTTGGTGCTTGGTTGAACTTTGAACTTTTGAGTCGACTCAAAAGTCAACTTTGTGGAACACTCCATTTCATTGTGACTATGGGGAGGGGATGAGTTTTGGGGGTGTGAGATGTCCTGCCAGGGGTTCACCCCCAAGCCATCGGGTAAACCATATTCCCTTCAACTACCGCTCCTCCACACCCACACACACTCCCCCCTTTATACTCACATATGTCAGCCATATCGAAGGTGGTGAGCCCAGCGTCAGCATGCTGCAGCATCGCCTCCACCACCGCATCTGGTGCCACCTACCCCCACGCACTGCTGCTGCTGTTTGTCCCCCTTATAAAAGCACCCATTAAACCCACTATAGACCTAGTAAAAAAAAGCTCACATATATCAGCCATATCGAATGTAGTAAGCCCAGCATCAACATGCTGCAGCATCGCCTCCACCACCGCTTCTGGTGCCGCCTGCCCCCCACGCCCCTGCTGTTTGTCCCCCTTATAAGCTCACTCACTCTAACACCCCTTTATACTCACATATGTCAGCCATATCAAAGGTGGTGAGCCCAGCATCAGCATGCTGCAGCATCGCCTCCACCACCGCATCTGGTGCCGCCTGCCCCCACGCGCCACTGCTGCTCTGCCACATGCCGTTCACCACGCGGCAGATCTCCAATGCATCGTCTCCTTGTTTGACTGTTGGCACAAGGAAGGGGAAGGGGAGCGGAGAGGAGAGAACGGCCTGGTAAGACCCCCGCCTGCCCCCACGCGCCGCTGCTGCTCTGCCACATGCCGTTCACCACGCGGCAGATCTCGAGGCTGTCATTGCCCTGTTCCACTGTTGGCACACAGGGGAGGGGAGCGGAGAGAATCGAAGGGACTCAATGATCCCTGCGCGCCTGTCCCCACGCGCTGCTGCTGCTGCTGCTCTGCCACATGCCGTTACGCGCCATGTATCCAAAGTATCGTACCTCTGTTCGACTGTTGGTTGTGGCGAAAAGGGAGGGAGCGAAGGAGCAAAGGGCATGCGACCCCTGCCATCGAAGTCATACAGTAATCTACAGTGTGTTTTTATTATTATTGTTTATCTTAGCTTACGAAGGACTCGATCTGAAGGAGCCTGAGCATCGATCGGCGCGCTCTAGTCCGCTGCTGCTTCCGCGCGCACCGAACATTTGAGCACACCCTAAAGTCAGTTTATTCGACTCGCCCAGGCTTACGAGTGACTCGGTCCGAAGGAGCCTGAGCAACGGTCGGCGCGCTCGAACCAGCTGCTGCTTCCGCGCGCACCGATAAATCCCGAGAACGCGGCCTTTCCGTCGATCGCGCGGAGAACTCGCGCCGCTGCGTCGCGAATCGCGCCACATTTGACGGCGCGAGTCCGCGGCAAGGCGGGAGCGAATCTTGTTGCCAGGCCGGCAATGTGGCGCGAAGTTGCCGCGAAACGAGGGCCTCCATGGCGTGGAATCGCGGTTTGATCACTGAGCGCGCAAAACACGGAATGATCGGGCCGCGATAATAGAATCTTGGGATGTTTCGGTTCTTATGGTATCTCTCTGTCGATCCTAATCAATCTTGTAGGTATTTGGCGGATTCCTTCTGGAATCAAGTGATGTATCTTGTTTCCGTTGGTTGTGTTACGTTTCAGAGCGGTACTGCACGAACGCCAATTCAAGCGGCACGTGTACGCGGAGGAAAACGACACGCGGCGGACGCGATCCACGTGGAACGAATGAGACAGCGGGAGCATGAATCGTCCCAGTAATTCCAGCAAATAAAAGTGTTCGATTCGATATGCAAAGCAAATTCGAGGTTGATCAGAATTGGTAGTGATATACACTCGAACATAGACTCGGGTAAACAGAATCTCTAAAAATATTGAAGGGCATGCTGACTAAGTATGAGTATATTTAGAAACATAAGGCTTGAAGGGAAACCCATTCAGCAAGGGAAAAGCCATTCTAATACGTATCCTATCCAAGGTCTCCTTTTATATATCGCCCCCTTTCCTATTGACCTTGTCCCATGTGTAGCGGCAGCTTCGAGGGCGCGAGGCATCAAAGCCTAACTAGGAGTGTCACCCGTCCGGGCAGCACATGAAAAAATGCATATAACCTCCTGAAACCTCCTATGAAGCATCTCAAAACCCTAGTCTCACTCAGGGCAGCAGATGAAGGAATGCCTGAACTTCCAATCTGCTACCTGGCACGACCGGCTACAGTACTTTGCCTTTCCGCACCGCACACAACTCCTGAACTCGTTCTCCCTCGTCTCCGGGCGGCAGCACGCAGGGTTACCGCAGCAGCGCCTGCCAGCTGGCAGCGAGCGTAGCGCGTGCCAGCTGGCGAGGAATTCGTGCACGCGATGGGCGGCATGCGGGCGCGGAAACGCCAGCTGGAGGGCAGCGGTGGATGCAGCAGCTGCTGACGTGGCGGCAGCAGCAGGGGTAGCTGCAATTGCTGATCCTCTGCTGTGCCCAGCTATATCAGTGGCGGCAGCGGCAGAAGCAGTAGGAGAGGAGGTGAGTGGGAGCATTTGCCGAATGAAGGAGAGGGATGCGAAGGGCGCAGCAGACAGCAGTGGTCTGCTTGGCCCGTCCTCCCTCTCGTCCTCCTCCTCCTCCTCACTCTCCCCCTCCTCCCCATCACTCTCGTCATCCTCCGAATCCATCCAAGAGTCTTGATCCTCTCCACACCCGTCCCCATAGCGTCTCAGAATGTCGGCTAGAGCATTTGCAGCAGCAGCAGCATCAGCACTTACGCCCGTTGATTCACACGCAGGTGAAGGCGGCGAAAGGGACAGTTCAAGTGACAGAGTGCAAGCCTCAAACCCTTGGCTTTCCAGCTCGCTTTCCTGCTTGCTTTCTTGCCTACCCTCTGCACCCTCTGCACCCTCCGCTTCCCTCTTCCTCACAATCTCCTTTAGTAGCATCATCATCCCCATCTGATCCTCCTCCTCCTCCTCCTCCTCCTCCTCCTCCTCCTCCTCCTCCTCCTCCTCCTCCTCCTCCCCCTGCCTCTCATGCCCCTCCTCCCCCTCCTGCCCCTCCTCCTCCCTTTCCTCTTCCAAACAGAGCGAGAAAACCAGGGTTCGACCCTTCCCCTGTTCAGACGGAACTTGCGCGCTTCCCACCTCTCTTGCCTCATTCCTACCGCCGCCCACTCTTGATTCCCCCTGCCGCATCTGCCGCTCCTCCCCTCGCGCGTAATCGCGACCATTGATGTTCCCCTCATCCTTTCCTTCCGCCGCGCCTCTGGCGCCACCGCCCCCTCTTTCCGCTTCAGTCACATCCTCCCTAAGCCTCGCGCCTCCAGCGTCGGCGACTCGCAGCATCCCCCTTCCGCGCGCCACGTTACAGTCACCTCTCGCGCACGCGCGCGCGCGGGCGGAGGCGGAGGCTGCGCCGACGGGGGAAGAAACGAGGCACTGCGGCCAGCTGCGCGACCGGGGGATGCGGCGGAGCTCCCGCTGCTGCGGCTGCTCTTTCCGCTTTCCCCCTTGCTGAACCAGCGCCTGCGCCTGCGCCTGGCGCAAACGGCCACTGCTTTCCGCAGCTCCTGTTTCCGCGCACGCGGGGGAAGCGGGCGCGGAGCGCGCCTTGGACTTCGCGCTCCGCCGCTCCGCCTCCGCCAGGCCAGCCGCGGCGTGCTGTAGCAGCAGCTGCCCTAACGATGTCCTCTGCGCGACGCCGTACCCGTCTAAGAAGCAATGCCCGAGCTCCTGTAACGCGGGGAGGAACCCGAGCCGCGCTGCGCGCCAGCTCAGCTCCACGCCGACCTCGGGATTGGCGTCGTCCGCCGCGCCGCCGCTGCCGTGGAAGTTGATTATCGCGAGCGAGTACATCGCCGCGCCGTGCCCCGCTTCCGCCGCTTGCGCGAGGAGCTTTGCGCCCGCCCAGTGGTTGTTGAGGCAGTAGAAGGAGATCTGGAGAGCGTCGGAGGAACGGGGAGGCGGAGGGGGGAGCGGGAAATCTGTGAGATTAGACTCGAAACGCGGGGGTAAATAGCGAGAAATGTCAGAGAGTCGACAAATGCTTGCGCGAAAAAACCATGCTCCGACTCGGCAAATGCTGACTCACCATGCCCACAACGTAAATCGCCTCGAGGTTGCCCTCCGCCGCGGCGCTGAGGAGAAGCCGCTGCGCAGACGCCGTCCATCGCGCCGCGTCTGCCGGCAGAAGCATTTCGATGGCGGCGGAGGCGCGTAGCGACCAGCTGGCGGCGGGGTGGCAAACGCTGCTGAACCGCTTGCACGTCACGAGCATCCCCGCAACGTCCGCCGCCGACTGCGCTTTGGCGAAGACGCACCGCGCGATTTCCGCGACCAGCTCGTCAGGCACGCGATCGAAGTGGCACGTGCGACGCGCCATCGTTGAGTCGCAGCCGTCGCCGGCGACGGGCCGTTGAACATCGTGCGAGAAACTACGAACTTGTGGCGCCATCGCGTCTGCGAAAATCGCTGAAGCTGGAGATTTCGCGTCGCCGGAAGAGGGAATCGGCTTCGAGATGTTGTTGCAATGGAGAGACGGAACGCCGAAGAACGCGGGCTGGGAATACGAAAACTCATTCGGGCCGAGCTTTACTCTTTTAAAAGACTCCATTTGGACTAGAGTCTCGCTTTCCTTCTTCGAGTGTCGTGGACAGACTTTGACAACACGATGCTATTGGAATGGGCAGTAATTTGGTGTATCGTTAGTAGATACGAACGGTCTGAGCTTCTATATACCCCCCTACAAGTATTTCGGATGACTTGCAGAATGTGAAAATCGTCGCGAGAGGCTCGGCGATATTGAGATGAGGAACGGAAAATGCAGTTTCTCTCATGAAAGTTCTACGCCGCTAGTTCCGTATCCTGGTTTCGTATCGTGGAAAGTGGTGCGCCTCTTGCCTTTCTATGTCCGCGGCGGACTACTAGCTGAAATTGTCTGCTTCTCATCAATTGTGTGATGGATTGGTGCAAAATGGTTCGGTATGGTTCAGAAACAGTTGGTTACGGTGAGGCATGGTGTCGCTGGGCATCAGGTTCAAAACCAAGCTCCCATTTCGTCGGATTGCTCGGGCTGGAGCGGTTGTGGGAAAACCACGCGTTAGGAGCAGCACATTTTGGTGCGTTGCTGGTCAAAATCTTCGGTACCACGGATAAACTGGTTAAACATATGCAGACCGAGAACAACCGAAGTACACCTGAACGTCCAGGTGTTTTGATTTGTCTGGTGGTAAAAGCAGGACAAAGATTTTAGGGACGACGCGCATTTGAATTCCGCGTGGCAGATGGTTCACGTCCACACATGAACGAATCCACCAATCGGCAGCATTTGTCCGACGGTTCGGGCAGCTTATCGAACGGTGTGTGTGTGTAGCCCTTCTTTGAGTCTGCCCTCGAGATCGGAACGGAATGCTGCTCCCGCGCTCCATTGCATCCCTCCTTCCGCAATCAACAGGCAATCGTGAGGGGATTCGAATTCCGAACTGTAGCTTTCCTTTTGCTTGTGTTGTCGTGTCGCGTCTGGTCTGGTTTGGTCTGGTCCCCTGCGATTTGTGACGGTGACGGTGCGTTTTGTGTACGGTGCTAGGCTGGGTTTGGAATGTTGCTCGCGCGAAATAATGAACTTCCCTTGTTACTGTAACTTGCGACAATGTTACAGCACAATTCCATATTCTGCAGGGAGCACGCTGGTTTCGGGAAGAAGCGAAAGAGAAACCTTTTACGCGGCGCAAACAAGATTGGATCGCATCCAAGATTGCACTTGGTCAATCCCGCAGGCGTGCTGCTTCACTCGGCGACACTCACCGTTCCAAGCTCTCAGCTCCGCTACAGATTCCTTTCGGTTGGTCGGCGACAATCAAGAATGCTTGTCTCTTCCCATTAATGAATCTATTGCCCGTGCTGTTGGACGCTGACATGGATGTGGATATTTGATACGAAATCAAAACCATGGATTTGGTACTCTGGCAGCGACCGTCAAACAGTTGGACTGCTGTGACGCTTCAAATATGAAACGATCGCAAAAGATTGCAAAAGCAGAAGAAACCGCGTTTGCAGAGCGAGAAACCGCGTGAGCACGTCCAGCAAACCGTCCCACTAGATTGTTGTCCTTGTCTGACCAGCTTGCACCTACAAAACAGTGGGAGGATTTGTTTGTCAACATTGATGTGGTTTGGAGTGTCAAACTGTCACCAGCTAATTTTGGAGGCATTTCATGATGGGATGCCCCATGCTTGTTTGTCAGGTCACTTGTCGCACGCTGGCAACGTTGAAGTTCGCTTCGCACGACTTGGTTGAACAGCTTAGCGAGCCCAACCCCAAAGTCTGCGGGTGTCCAGGAAGTTTCCAAAAGAAAACGTTCTACACCCATATTTTTCATTCATTTTCAACTAAGCAGGTGGATGTTTGAGGTTACTGGAAATGTAGTAGAAGGGTGGAAGTCTTGCTACTATTCAGCTAAATTTTCACCTTCATATTCTCGGCATCATCTCGTCCATGTGCCACCAAGGCAGGAACGTACAAGGCATTTATTTCTGTTTTAGTCGACGTGCCAATATTTTATACTCGGAAATATGCAGTGCACATCACAAGCAACGATATATGGCATCACGAGAATGGACGTCGGTGTCAATACTTGGTGGTACAATATTGCAACCGAGCGTGAAAGGTGTTTCTATACTTTAATGGGCCACTATGCAATTCAACATGCCGTACAAGCAGCCCTGCTTTCATTCGGTTCGGACCAACTATTCCCACATCAATAATTCTCAAGCTCCAGCTTGGGCAGCAGCGACCAAAAGTTTCTCCGGTGGTATACCACCAGCAGCCGGGTGACAGCAGTGAGAATCCGCAGCTCAGCTGTGCCCTCCGAGTACACGTGTGTGGGGCCCACATGACGTGGCTTCACCTTCAGTCCAGTCATGCCCTTCTTGCGAATAACTGTTAGTGCTTGGTCTTCTGTGATGCTGCCCAGCCGCATGCCCATCCCTGCTGCCTGCACCTCGTAGTGGTCTCTCAATTCCTTTATGTTCACCTGTGTATGGGGTGTGGATGCACCAAACAAGTCGATGGGTATAGAAATACTGAGGTGCCTCACGAAGCATGCCCATGCCTGCTGCCTGCACCTCGTAGTGGTCTCTCAATTCCTTTATGTTCAGCTGTGTGTGGGGTGTGGATGCACCAAACAAGTCGATGGGTATAGAAATACTGAGGTGCCTCACGAAGCATGCCCATGCCTGCTGCCTGCACCTCGTAGTGGTCTCTCAATTCCTTTATGTTCACCTGTGTGTGGGGTGTGGATGCACCAAACAAGTCGATGGGTATAGAAATACTGAGGTGCCTCACGAAGCATGCCCATGCCTGCTGCCTGCACTTTGTAGTGATCCCTTAGTCCCTCCCTCTCTCACCCGCAGCTTTTCACCCGAATCCATCTTCTCCCATCCCCTCTAACCCCAATCTACCCCACCCCACCCCACCCAACCACACCAAACCCCACCCCACCCATCCTCACCCCACCCCACCCCTCCTCACCCCACCCCACCCCACCTCACCGCACTCCACCCCTCTTCACACACTCACCAGAGTGATCCCTCCAGTGATCAATACTTTAGCCGCCACCCTGAACGTGATCCTCTCTTCCATCCAACCCCACTCCATCCCTCCTATGTTTCTTTAGAATTCTCAAAAAACATCTACCCCTCCTGACGCACTCACCAGAGTGATCCCTCCAGTAATAGACACTTTAGCAGCTGCCCCAAACGTGATTCTCTCAGCCGTCGCCTGCAGCCCCTCAAACACTCCCATGTGCGCCAGCAGCAGCGCGTGCAGCATCTCCAGATCGTCACACCCGCCCGTGCCCATGCTGCTCCCTCCTGAATGAATCCCAGACCCGCCCACCAGGTCTGCTCCTGCTCCCACACATGCCTCCAGAAGGCCTAGCGATATCTCTGCCACTTCTGGCACCCCTGGGCGCTGTTGCGAAGGACGGGGGATGGATTGCAAGAGACATGGGACATTGAGAGAGGGAGGGAGGAGTTGCCAGCAGCAGTGCGTGCAGCATCTCCAGATCGTCACACCCGCCCGCTCCCATGCTGCTCCCTCCGGAGTGAATCCCTGACCCGCCCACCAGGTCTGCTCCTGCTCCCACACATGCTTCCAAAAAGCCCAAGGAGATTTCCGCCACCTCTGGCACCCCTGGGCGCTGTTGGGAGAGCAACGGGGAATGTAGAGCAAGAGAAACATGGGGGATTGAGAGAGATTGAGAGAGATTGAGAGAGGGAGGGAGGAGTGCAGCCCTTCAAGCACCCCCATTTGCGCCAGCAGCAGCGCGTGCGGCAACTCCAGATCGTCACACCCGCCACCTCTGGCATGGCACTCACACACAGCCACACACCCATCTGTGAAAGCGCACACACAAATAGCAACCAAAAAAACACACCCACACCCACCTGAAAGTTACTATCTGCGCGGCACCAGTCGCATATGCGAATAAGTGATCGCCAGAGGCCAAACCAGTCCACTGTTGCAGTGCTGAGAGCCACCCCCTTGGCTCGCGCGAAATTGATCACCAGCGAGTGTGAGAGGGAGTGAGGGAGGGAGAGAGCGAGACACACCCACCTGGAAGTTGCTGTCTGCGCGGCACCAATCGCATATCCGAATGAGAGACCGCCAGAGGCCAAACCAGTCCACTGTTGCCGTGCTGAGAGCTATTCCCTTGGCGCGCGCGAAATTGAGCACCAGAGACACCACCACCGCTGCTCTCACTAGGGCGTCTGGATCCATTGAGGGAGCAGGTTGTGAGGAGGAGGAGGGAGTGGGTTGTAGCACTCACACCCACACCACACCCAACTCACACCCACACTGACCCACTCGCACCCACACTCAGACACCCACCTGGAAGTTGCTTTCCGCGCGGCACCAGTCGCATATTCGAATGAGAGACCGCCAGAGGCCAAACCAGTCCACTGTTGCCGTGCTGAGAGCTATTCCCTTGGCTCGCGCGAAATTGATCACCAACGACACCACCACCGCTGCTCTCACTAGGGCGTCTGGGTCCATTGAGGGAGCGGGTTGCGAGGAGGAGGAGGGAGTAGAGGAGAGCGAGGAATGGGAGGTGGAGGAGGGGTGAGAGGAGGAGGAGGAGGAGGAGGAGGAGGAGGAGGGGGGGTTTGAGGTGTGGGAGACGGAGGGAGGGAGTGTGTTGAAGGAGGGTTGGGCGGGAGTGGGTGTGGGGGGGAGGGGGAGCGAGAGGACGGCTACTCCCATGTTGAAGAATGCGTGGGACATGGAGGAGCGAGGGTGGGATGGCGTGCGCGGTGAGTGGGGGGACATGGCTGCACATGGGAAGGTGAGAAAAGCGGAAGGGAGATGGGGAAAAAATGATTTGGGAAAAGAACGATCCTAACATGGGAGGGGAGGAAAAAGAACGGAGGAGAGTGGGTGGGATGGCATGAGTGGGTGGGTGGGAATGAGGGGATATGGATGCAGATGGGATGTTGGGGGGTTGGAGAAATGGAAGAGGAGAGAGTGAGAGGCCAGAACAACTGGAGGAGTCCAATAACTGCAAGACTGGGTCTTGGAGGGTCGTACCAGGTGATGAGGGGTTGGGAGGCTAGAGGGAGTGCATGGGGAAGGTGGCAGGGTCGCATCTGAAGAGCCTCAATAATCGAAAGGTTGGGTTTGGGTTCGGGGAACTTACCAAGGGATGAGGGGCTGGGAGGCTCCAGCGAGTGCATGAGGAAGGTGGCAGGGTCGCATCTGATTTCCAGTTACTGGAGACTTGGTAACAGGGGGTCCCACTAGGTGACGAGGGGTTGGGAGGGGTCGTACCAGGTGACGAGGGGCTGGGAGGCTCGAGCGAATGCATGAGGAAGGTGGCAGGGTCGCATCTGAAGAGAAACTCGGCTGTGTGGCGTTCCTCTAGGAGCAGACGGGCGAGGAGGAAAAGCACCTGTGGAGCAGGGACAATGGGGGGAGGGGAGGGGACGGAAGACACAGAAGGGGAGGGTGGCAGGGTCGCATCTGAAGAGAAACTCGGCAGTGTGTCGTTCCTCTAGCAGCAGACGCGCGAGTAGAAAGAGGGCCTGTGAAGCAGGGAGGGAGTAGAGAGGGGAGGGGACAGAAGACAAAGAAGGGGAAGGTGGCAGGGTCGCATCTGGAGAGAAACTCGGCAGTGTGTTGTTCCTCTAGCAGCAGACGCGTGAGGAGGAAGAGGACCTGTGAAGCAGGGAGGGAGGAGAAGAGAGCGGATAAGCAAGGACAAGGGAAAGGGGAAATTAGGCGGGATGCGTTTAAACCGACCAAGCAAACACATTTTCAAGACTCGCAATATACTGTTCCAAAAAAAAAAAGTCACGACGGCACGTGAGAACATTTCTCCACACAGGAGGGAGTGCGAGCGGCCTTCACTTCACTTCAATCCTCTCGTACCTGCCACCCTTCCCCTTGCAGGGCGTGCGGATCAAAGGTATCTCGGCACGTGAGCAGCAGCAGGCGCAGCACATCGTAGTACCCCTCATTACACCTCAGTACACCTGTACCGTACCTTAGCTCTCGGCAGGCCCCATTCCCCTTGCAGTACGTGGGGATTAAAGGCATCTCGACGCGTGAGCAGGAGCCGTAGCACGTCGCCCCACAGGAGGGAGTGAGAACAGCTTGAGCCATGGGCCGCTAGCATGAGCCATGGGGTATGCGCTTACCTTAGCCCTTGGTAACCCTCCCTCCCCTTGCAGGGCGTGCGGGTCAAAGGCATCTCTGCACGTGAGCAGCAGCAGGCGCAGGCAGTCGCCCCATAGGAGGGAGAGGGACTTGCCGGGCCCCACAACAAAGCCCTCGTGCGGCCACAGCTGTAGTGGAGTGGAGGGGATGTGGAGAAGCAGAGGGAGTGTGAATGAGTGGGTGGGATGAGTGATGTGATGACAGCAGCAGGTGCAGGCAGTCGCCCCACAGGAGAGAGAGCGACTTGCCGGGTCCCACTATGAAGCCCTCATGCGGCCACAGCTGCATTGGTGATGGGAGGACATGCAAAGGGAACAGAGACAAGCATAAGCTCGGGAACAGCAGGCGCAGGCAGTCGCCCCACAGGAGAGAGAGCGACTTGCCGGGGCCTACAATAAAACCCTCATGTGGCCACAGCTGGAGTGGGGGAAGAGCAGGAGAGGTAGCCAGGGGTGAGTGTTGACAACAGCAGCAGCAGCAGGCGAAGCACGTCGCCCCACAGGAGGGAGAGGGACTTGCCGGGTCCCACAATGAAGCCCTGGTGCGGCCACAGCTGGGGTGGTGAAGGGAGGACATGCAAAGGGAGCAAACTCAAACATAAGCTCGGGAACAGGAGGAGCAGGCAATCACCCCACAGGAGGGAGAGGGACTTGCCGGGGCCCACTACGAAGCCCTCATGCGGCCACAGCTGAAGTGGTGAAGGGGAGGGGCAAGCAAAAAGAGAGCGGGAATAAGCATAAGCACAACAGCAGCAGGTGCTGCACGTCACGTCCCCCCACAGGAGAGAGAGCGACCTGCCGGGGCCCACAATGAAGCCCTCATGCGGCCACAACTGGGGTGGAGTGGAGGGGATATGGAGTAAGGATGAGTGAGGATGAGTGAGGATGAGGATGAGGATGAGGGAGGATGAGTGAGGATGAGGATGAGGGAGGATGAGGATGAGGGAGGATGAGGATGGAGGAGGATGAGGATGAGGGAGGATGAGGATGAGGGAGGATGAGGATGAGAGAGGATGAGTGAGGATGAGGGAGGATGAGGATGAGGGAGGATGAGGATGAGGGAGGATGAGGATGAGGGAGGATGAGGATGAGGGAGGATGAGGATGAGGGAGGATGAGGATGAGGGAGGATGAGGATGAGGGAGGATGAGGATGAGGGAGGATGAGGATGAGGGAGGATGAGGATGAGGGAGGATGAGGATGAGGGAGGATGAGGATGAGGGAGGATGAGGATGAGTGAGGATGAGGATGAGTGAGGATGAGGATGAGTGTTGACAGCAGAAGCAGCCAAAGAATGCCGCCCAACAGGAGGAAGAGAAATTTTCCCGGTCCGTCCCACGATGAATCCCTCATGCGGCCACAGCTGTATTGTTGATGGGATTCATTGTGGGACGTGCATGTCATCATTGAGGGAAGACATGCAGAAAGAGAGCCGAAATAAGGGCTATATTTGAGTCGACTCAAGAGCCGAAATAAGGGCAATTTCAACAGCAGGGTGTGTGAGAAGATGAGTGAGGAGTCTTGACAGGGCAGCAGGTAGCAAAGGGTACGGCTTGTGTGTCGCACCAAAATAAAAAAGGGCATGTTACTTGACAGCAGGCGATCTTACAGTGGGGTTGGGCGCTACAAGGAGACGCAGCAGCGGCACCCTGTAGGTCAGCTTATGCACGCAGGCCCACAGAGTTCTCTGCTGCTTGTAACGAGTTTGAATAAAAAAGGGGATGACTTACAGCGGGCGATCTTGCAGTGGGATTGAGAGCGACGAGGAAATACAGCAGCAGCACTCCACACGTGCCATACGCCCACTGACCATCCACCTTCTCCGTGACAGTGTGATGTGATGTAGCATGCTCGCTTGAGAGTCCCAGACACCCATACTCACAGCAGGCGATCTTGCAGTGGGGTTGAGTGCGACGAGGAAATACAGCAGCAGCACACCGCACGTCCCATACGCCCACTGCCCATCCACCTGCCCCTCCCTCGCCCCTCCTCCTGACATACTGACAGCATACTGTGGCATACATGCTTGTGGGACTGACACATCAAGACTTACAGCAGGCGATCGTGCAGTGGGATTGAGAGCGACAAGGAAATACAGCAGCAGCACACCGCACGTCCCATATGCCCACTGCCCATCCACCTCCCCCACCCAGCTGACAGCGTACTGTGATATGAGAGTCCCAGACACCCATACTTACAGCTGGCGATCGTGCAGTGGGATTGAGAGCGACGAGAAAATACAGCAGCAGCACACCGCACGTCCCATATGCCCACTGACCGTCCACCTCCCCTGCTCCGCTCCCCCTCTCCGTAAACTTCTCTACAATCACACTCGTTATAGGGGGCAGCTCCCCGAGCCCTTTCCCGCTCGCTATCCCCCCTATAGCCGTGCTCGCGTAACTGTACAGTGCCTGGGTGGCTGCTGACGTGGCAAACGCCACTACAGACAAAGCTGATGACGCCTGAAACGAAATCACGCCCATAGAAGGCAAATAAGCACTAATCCCTCCTAAACTCGCCCCTTCTGCTCCTCCCACCCCACCTCCTCCTCCCGCCCCTCCCCCCGCCGCTCCCCCTCCCCCTCCTCCCCCTGCTGCTCCCGCCACCCCCCCAACCCCCTGCCCCGGCTCCTGGGAAAGCGAGAGCAGGGAGTGTATGGTATGCAGCAGAGGAACCAGGGGCGCATTGGCTGTAGAGGCGAGTCTATCCGCATAGGGGTTGGAAGCTCTACGCCAGAGCAGCAGCAGGAGGAGAACGAGTGAGGTGTCGAATTCGAGATGCTGGCGGTGGTGTGGCGGGGAGAGGGTGAGGAGGGAGAGGAGGGGGTCTGTGATGGGGTGGAGGAGCAGGTAGGAGGCGACTGGGTTGGCGTTGACGTTGTCTGTGGCTGTGAGCAGCACCAGGAAGAGCCTGCATCGGAGGGGGGATGATGGGGGCAGAATGAATGTGGTTCTGAGGAGCTGCAACACACGATCGGAGGGGATGGGGCAGGTAGGACGCGACTGGGTTGGCGTTGACGTTGTCTGTGGCTGTGAGCAGCACCAGGAAGAGCCTGCATCGGAGGGGGGATGATGGGGGCAGAATGAATGTGGTTCTGAGGAGCTGCAACACACGATCGGAGGGGATGGGGCAGGTAGGACGCGACTGGGTTGGCGTTGACGTTGTCTGTGGCTGTGAGCAGCACCAGGAAGAGCCTGCATCGGAGGGGGGATGATGGGGGCAGAATGAATGTGGTTCTGAGGAGCTGCAACACACGATCGGAGGGGATGGGGCAGGTAGGACGCGACTGGGTTGGCGTTGACGTTGTCTGTGGCTGTGAGCAGCACCAGGAAGAGCCTGCATCGGAGGGGGGATGATGGGGGCAGAATGAATGTGGTTCTGAGGAGCTGCAACACACGATCGGAGGGGATGGGGCAGGTAGGACGCGACTGGGTTGGCGTTGACGTTGTCTGTGGCTGTGAGCAGCACCAGGAAGAGCCTGCATCGGAGGGGGGATGATGGGGGCAGAATGAATGTGGTTCTGAGGAGCTGCAACACACGATCGGAGGGGATGGGGCAGGTAGGACGCGACTGGGTTGGCGTTGACGTTGTCTGTGGCTGTGAGCAGCACCAGGAAGAGCCTGGGATGGAGGCACGGGAGAGGGGGAGGAGGGGGGGGAGGGGGGGGGGGGTGTTGATGGGGACAGGAAGAATGTGGTTATGAGGCACTGCAACACACGTTAGCAGGGGGTCTGTGAAGGGATGAGGAGGTAGGACGCGACTGGGTCGGCATTGACGTTGTCTGTGGCTGTGAGAAGCACGAGGAAGAGCCTGGGATGGAGGCACGGGAGAGGGGGGGGGGGGGGGGGGGGGGGGGGGGGGGGGGGGGGGGGGGGGGGGGGGGGGGGGGGGGGGGGGGGGATGGGGCCAGGAAGAACTTGGTTGCGAGGCGCTGCAACACAGGAGCAGAGAGGATGGAGGAAGAGGTAGCTCTACACTGTAACGGTTACAGGGTTACCCTACCTTGTACTGAGTGCTTTGATAAGCACAGGAACCTGCTCCCCTGTGAGTAGGCTGGACACATCGCAAATGAGCTTCTTGAAGTAGCCATCCCCAGTATCCGACTAGCGTTCAAACACTACGTTACGCGGTTACCCCACCTGGTCCCTAGTGCTTCTATGAGCACGGGCACGTTTTTCACTGAGAGAAGGCCAGAGACATCGCAAATGAACTTCTTGAAGTGCGCATCCCCACTGTGTGATTATACTGAAGTGAAGGATATCCATCACCCTACCTGCTCCCAAGCGCTTTTATGAGCACTGGCACGTTTTCCCCTGTGAGCAGGCCAGAGACGTCACAGATGAGCTTCTTGAAACACGCATCCCTACTGTGTGACTATCGTTCATACATTACGTAACAGGGTTACCCTACCTTGTCCCAAGTGCTTTTATGAGCACTGGCACGTTCTCCCCTGTGAGTAGCCCAGAGACGTCACAAATGAGCTTCTTAAAATACGCATCCCCACTGTCCGCGTTGCCTGCAACGAGCGTGATTATAGTGAAGGTCTGCGAGTGACAATGGGGGAAAAAGGGAGGAGAAACACAGTGGCGGGGGGGAGGCGGCGGGAGTGGTGGCTTGAACTACACTTTTCCCGCCACTGTGCGGGAAAAGTGTAGTTCAAGTCTTGAAGGGCAACGACGCCTCACCACGGCCCGCACTGCCTGCCAAGGCGTGATAATATTGAAGGTCTGCAGGTGACAATGCAAGTTGGGACATGGAAAGAAACGTGGGCATGTGAAAAGCCAATCATTTGCTGCTGAGCGCAATCACATTTCTCATTCAACAACATGCCACCTGCGCCCCAAACGAAACTACGAGAATATCCCACACAGAAGCACGCCCAGAAACTTGATTCAAGCGTATGGTATGTCATCTGCAGGAATGAAGCCCCATGCCGTTATACCCCTCACCTGCTCTGCAAACCTCTTCTTGAAAATCTCCCGCAGAAACACGGCTAGGGTTTCAAGTGCATGTGCCACTCGAATGAAATTCACGTCGCCCAGATATCTGGTTGGGGGACGAGGAGGTGTGGGGGAGGAAAGAGATGGGTGAGACGACCAAAAGACGAGCAGTAGGTGCCAATTCAACTTAGAAAGGCTATGGATTAATCTGAATGGATAAATCTGAGGCACAGGCTGGGAACCAACCTGAGGTAGGGTGTGGAATCACCTGAGCTGGGCTGTGATTTAACCAAGGTAGGCTGTGAATTCACCCGAGACAGGCGCAAACTCACCTGCAGCAGGTTACCTGAGACAGCTTCAGAGTGCACCTGAAACTGCCTCGGGATTCACCTGAGACAGGCTTGGGATTCACCTGAGAGAGACTCGGGATTCACCTGAGACAGACTCGGGATTCACCTGAGACAGACTCGGGATTCACCTGAGACAGACTCGGAAATTCACCTGAGGCAGGCAGAGAAGATCTCGTTGATGGTGGGCTTGAGAGGACCAATGAGGCGATCCTCGGGGATGGATGCGATGCACTGTGCAAGATAGGCGTCGTTCACCTGCCTCGTTCAAGGGATGGCAGTGAAACGCAGCAGTGAGAAAACAACAACAGCACACAGCAGTGTGATGGGGTTACAACAACACATAAGAGGGGACCAATGAGGTGATCCTCGGGGATGGATGCGATGCACTGTGCAAGATATGCGTCGTTCACCTGCAGCGCTCAAGGGATGCATCAGTGAGACAACAACAACACACAGCAGTGTAATGGGGTTACAACAACACATAAGAGGGGACCAATGAGGCGATCCTCGGGGATGGATGCGATGCACTGTGCGAGGTAAGCGTCGTTTACCTGTTACATTGAGGGGAAGAAGAATAGAGACACAGAAGCAGAGTAATGAAGTTACAACAACACGCAAGTGGGGACCAATGAGGCGGTCCTCGGGGATGGATGCGATGCACTGTGCGAGGTAAGCGTCGTTTACCTGCCTCTTGTGACAGACGGGATAAAGAGATGCAGAGACACGCATTAACGGGGATACGGGGAGGTCGAATGAGAAAACCCACGAGCAGCGAGAGTTCTGAAACAGATCATTCAAGAGAAAGTTGAGGCTTCTGTTTCCGTTTGAAGCGATATAAGAGCAAGCGGTCAGGGTTGCACGAGTCAAGCGATCAGATCTCAAAACGAGCAGTCAAGATTGCTGCGTAATGCGTGCAGCACAGGGAATCAGAGCGGGTCGGCGACTACGATGCTACGTCACGACGCTGCGAAGCTTCGCGGGGTCGCTCCTTGGAGATTAAATACACATGCAGCAGCATGATGTGGGATGATAGGGTAATTGGAGCCTACTTTTAAGAGGAGAAGCTCGTCCCAGAAGCGTTGCAGCTCCTGCCGTCCTTCGAACCCTTTCTCCCTGCACGTGCTGATCGGGCTACGTCCATTGAACACGTCCTCGTAACGGCAAACGAAGAGCTCTTTTAACGGAGCCTTGAGATTCGCCGCTCCCCCTGTTCGAGACGTCTTGTGCGCGACCAATCCCTGACTCCTCATGATCGGACGGTGCTGATCGCGTCGAGATCGAACGGTTAGGTACGAGACATAAGGCTCTCGATCAATCGTCAAGGGGCGGATTCACGAAATGTCGATGCGCATTGGCGAAGATGTCGCGCGAAGTAGCAATTAGTGGGTCGGTAACGGCGATTTCGCGAATCAGAGCGAAAGCCGGCCGAGGACTAAGGCGGGAACAGGAACGACCCCGTGGCGTGACACGCTTCGCTTCGGACTGACAAGCCGTGATTCGCCCTAGAGGCAGCTATGTCAGTCCCGAAAAGACTGACAAGCATCTATACGCGCTACAAGCTCTTGCATCGGATACAGATCAGCGACGCAAGAGCGAATGCGACCTTGGAAATTCCCAAGGCGTGGGGGAGGACGGAGGACCAGCGGCATTCGTAATTTCAGATCGGTACAAACCAATGCGGCGAGGTGACCTCAATAAGGGGTTGGGAGGGATCTCAAGATGGGGTTGGATCAGGTGATAGGCAGCTTGCGGTGTAGTCTGATGAAACGATTTCTGTTGAGGATGCCAGAATCGAGGAAAAAATCGATATGTACGTCTTCGTTTGCCTTTCAGAGAACCAACCAGTTTGCGTCTGTACGGTTATCTAGCACCCTTTTCAAGCAACACTGGCATCCCCTCGCCTTCCATCCTGAAGCTTTCACGACCGAAATTCGATCAGACTGAACGGAATTCAGACCTATTTTCGCAGATTTAGTATCTCGATCTCCGCAGTCTCCTCGATCTCCGGTGACCGCCATATCTCCAAAAGCGCTTCGCGAGGGCCTTTCAAGCTCATTAGCGGGAGCTTGAAGCGAGGTCAGTGAGTCTGAGATTGATGTGTTTTGAAGTTGCTGCTCTCATCAGCGCGATTCTCGCAGCCCGATCTGAATCGGACTAACTTCTAGCGTTGTCCCGTTGCGCTAGTGTTTAGATTCGCAAGTCATTCATTACGCGATTTCCGGGTGAGAGCATATATTATTAAGTTCACTCAAAGGACGATGAATTCGCGCGATTCCACCCGTTAGCTGCCGGAATTCGCGTCGACTGCCTTAAGTTACCATGATTAATCTGCCAGTAGTCGCTCGTTTTTTTTTATCAAACGTAGGCTCGGCGCGAGTTGGGATGTTCGATTTGGTTGAATTCGAATGGATCCGGCTCGTAGATCTTAGAGACGTTCTTGTCGTCCTTGTTGCCAACGAATACAGAATCCCTGCAGTGTGCTTGTATCGAATTCTGATCGGCTGTAGTCCTCTTTCGAATTTTGCTTTCCTGCAGTGTGCTTTTTGCGGATCCTCGCTGCCATGAGTCGCGGGTCGGGAGCAGGTTACGACCGTCACATCACCATCTTCTCGCCCGAAGGCCGCCTCTACCAAGTTGGTTAGTCGCTTTTCACGCCCTTCACTCCGCGATGCCACTCCCTCCTTCGCTCCATTTCCTTTCCTTCCGTCACGCTTCCCCCGTCCCCCTCCCGCCATCCCTCTCTCGCTCCCTCCCCCCTTCCCCCACCCACATCACCATCTTCTCGCCCGAAGGCCGCCTCTACCAAGTTGGTTCGTCACTTTTCACACCCGTGACTCTGTTATTCCCTCTTTCTCCCTCCTTCACTCTTCGTCTCCCTCTATTCCCCTCCCTCCCTCTCCCTCCCTCACTCACTCATCACCATCTTCTCGCCCGAAGGCCGCCTCTACCGAGTTGGTTCGTCGCTTTTCACGCCCTTTTCGCCGCGACATGCACTCCCTTCTTCCCTCTCCCTCTCCCCCGTCGTTCCCTCCCACCCTCCCTCCGTCACATCACCGTCTCCTCGTCTAAGGAGCCTCTACTAAGTTGTTTCTTCACTTCTCACGCCCTCGGCTACTCAATTCCCTATCTCCTTACCCCGCTTGGCCTCGCTCTTTCGCTCCCTCCGTCAAATCATCATCATCTTGCCAATCCCCTCCCTCGCTCATTCGGAGTCATGATAGCAAGTGCCTTCACTGCATTTTTATCCATCAGGGAAATGAATCACTTATGTAGCTCCTATATCCCCTTCTCCTTCGCCCCTCCCCTATCCCCATTTTTTTCACCAGAATATGCTTTCAAGGCAGTCAAGTCAGTCGGAGTGACTTCCATCGCCGTGCGAGGCAAGGATTCAGTGTGCTTCGTGACTCAAAAGAAGGTTCCGGTGAGTGCCCGTTTCCCTCTCGAAGGTCCCTGTGAGTGCTGTTTTCCCTCTCTTCGCTCATTACACGGTTAAAGTGACTTCCATTGCCGTGCGAGGCAAGGATGCGGTGTCCTTTGTGACTCAAAAGAAGGTTCGTGTGAGTGCTCTCCTCCTTCTCTCTCGCTCACTACCCGCCTCGTTTGCGTATCACAACCAACCAACCAATGAAGAGGAGCCCGGTCTGCGTTGTGAAATGCGATTGTTTTACCAACCTGTGGCACCCACCGCCCCCTGCCTGTCTTTCCCTCACCGTCACTACTTCCCGTTGTGCGTTATTGCAACCAACCAATGAAGAGGAACCCGGTCTGCATCGTGAAATGCGACTGTTTTACCAACCTGTTGCCCACACCGCCCCCTGCTCCCCCTGCCTGTCTTCCCCCCCGTCATCAGGACAAGTTGACTGACGAGACTAGCGTCACGAACCTGTACCCGGTCACCAAAGGCATTGGCATGCTGGCGACAGGCCTCACAGGTGCGTGGGAGGTGGGTGAGAGGTGCGTGTGAGGTGCATGTGAGGTGCGTGCGTGTGAGGTGCGTGCGAGGTGGGTGGGAGGTGGGTCACACAGGTGGGTCAGAGCCGTCACGAACCTGTACCCAGTCACCAAGGGCATTGGCATGCTCGTGACAGGTCTCACAGGTGGGTGCGTGGGCAGAAATCTTGTGTTATCACCCTTGCAGGCAGGTGGAAGCTTCTGGTGCCTAGTACTGATGATTCCTGCTTCACTGGTTGGTGCGACCGGCGTCACAAACCTGCATCCAGCCACCAAGGGCATTGGCATGCTCGCAACAGGCCTCACAGGTGGGTGCGTGGGTCACAGGCAGGGGGCAGACTTGTGGCATGGCACCTAGTAGTGCCTGCTTCACTGCTTGATGAGACCAGTGTCACGAACCTGTACCCAGTCACCAATGGCATTGGCATGTTGGCGACAAGCCTCGCAGGTGTGTGGGAGAGTTGATAACATCAATCAAGCACTGGTCAATCACATCACACTAGGGTTACCACATCTCCTTCTGTGGCCGGCTGCTCTTCCCCTCCGATCCCTCCCTCCCTCCCTCCCTGCCACATCTTGTTTCCTCGCTCGTTCCCTCACTTCCTCCTCCCTCCCTCCCTCCCTCCCTCCCTCCCTCCCTCCCTCCCTCCCTCCCTCCCTCCCTCCCTCCCTCCCTCCCTCCCATTACCTACTAGCGGGCGCGAGATCGATAATTTTGTGGGCTCGTTAAAAGGTTGACGGGGTGCAAATGATTGGAAATCTCTGAGGGCATCAACGGGTTGATGAATCTTCAAGAGGTATGCATCAGTTATTGCATCAAACTGCGAGAGATTTTCGAGGTCAGCACGACTTTCGGGGGCTTGAAAAGCTTGCGCGTTGAGGGCTGTGCGAGCCTCGCAAGCAAGGCAATGCTCGCACAACCCACAACGCGCAAGCTCTTCAGGCGCCTGAGAGTCGTAATGGCCTCGGAAATCTCCCGCACTTCGCTGCAATAGCTGATGCAGAGCTCTTGAAGCTTCGTCAGCCCGTTGATGCCCTCATGGATCTTCGATAACTTGCATCTCTTCGATTGCTCAACCCCAATTTCCACATCCTTACACCCCCTCCCACCTCTCCCTTCCTTTTGTTCCCGTTTCCCTCTGCTGAGGGCCCGCCACGAGGCTTCCCCTTTCAATTGCTCAACCTCAATCCCTACATCCTCACACCCCCTCGCCTCTCTCTCTTCTTTCTGTTCCCTCCCGTCTTCCACCAGCCGACGCAAGATCGCTGGTGCTGAGGGCTCGCCACGAGGCGGCAGAGTTTCAGTTCAAGCTCTAACACCTCCCAACACCACACTCCCACGACCCCCTCCCCCTCCTTTCCTTCCGTTCAATCCCTCCTATGCCCCACCAGCTGACGCGAGATCGCTGGTGCTGAGGGCTCGCCACGAGGCGGCAGAGTTCCGGTTCAAGCTGGGATACGACGAAGCTGAGCACTCTCGAGTCATCAATCACTCAATCTTCCACATCCCTTCACTTACCCACCTTCCCTGCACTCCCAATCCTCCCCATCCCTCTCCCTCTCCCCACCAGCCGACGCCAGGTCGCTGGTGCTGAGGGCCCGCCACGAGGCGGCAGAGTTCCGGTTCAAGCTGGGATACGACGTGCCTGTGGACTACCTCGCTAGAAGGTGAGGTGGGGTGCTTAGTGGTGCTGTGCGGTGCTGGTGGGTTGGGTGGCAGTGTGGGTGGGCTCTGTGGGTGGGCTGGTGCTGAGATCCCGCCACGAGGCTGCAGAGTTCCGGTTCAAGCTGGCTGGGGTATGACGTGCCTGTGGACTACCTCGCTAGAAGGTGTGTTGAGGGGTGGTGAGGGGTGCTCAGTGGTACTGTGTGGTGTTGGGGGTGTGGTGTTGGGGTGGGGTAGAAGATACTGAATCATGAGCCACGAGGCTGCAGAGTTCCGGTTCAAGCTTCTGTGAGTGGAAACATTATACAATACAAGCACCAGGGTTGCATGGACATACAATCCAAACGTCACAACATGACGCATTCTCGGTTTGCACATTGAAAGTGTGCATGCCATGGTATGGCATGGTATGGCATGGCATGGCATGGCATGGTATTTATCTTCTCGTTTTTTGTCGATTGCCTTGGAGTTTCACTTTGTGCCTGCTTGTGCTGCAGATTGTTTTTGAGAATTCTCAAAAACAATCTGCAGAATTCTCAAAAAAAATCTGCAGAATGCTAAAAAACAATCTGCAGAATTCTCAAAAACGATTGCCTTGGAGTTTCATTTTGTGCCTGCTTGTGGTTCCTTGCC